GTCGAAGAATAAGAATAAATAAATACAAAAAAAAAACAGAGTTTTGTCTGAAGGAGAAATTAATGGGTGAAAAAGAGGAGGAAGAAGCCGTTTTTATAGGCTTCCTTTGACTAAGTTTTTCCTTTTATCAATCACGATACCACGTTTAATTAACACTGCCTAATTTTATTTTATTTTTCCTGAATAATACTTTATTTCTCTTTTTTCACTCCCCCAAATGCCTAATTGTGTGGTTTATCTTAATCACGTTACTATTAAGAACTTCCTAGATAATGCTATTGTATAGTATGATAATTAGATGACTAGACATTACGTACACATATACAAATCTTATTAGCATACTAATTAACTAGTTACTTGTGCACATGGGTGGATCAATTTGCATAAATATTAGTTGTCCGATGGATGAGAATGTGTTCATGTCTTCACGTTTGTGATTAAGAAACAATTCAGATAAACATTCAACTAATACACCCCGGTAATAGTTTAAAATTATGTGTTGATTTCAAATGTTAATGTATATCAAGAAATTCATACAGAATTCAAACATTTTTGTTAGCGCAAGATTTCTTTCCTATTTGTTGTGCTTTCAGTTGTTTGACTTCAATTATATATATACTGTTCTATTTTTTGTTAGGGCTCATTATATACGAATTATTCTCTGGATTAGATAACATGTTGTAGTAGAAAAATGATTTTTTTTTTTTAAAAAGAGCCTAATTTTCTTCATTCAGACTATGTATTGTTTTATTTATCGATTCGATAAGTTATATTTATTCATGAAAGGGAAACAACTAGCTAGATTAAAGACTTATCTAAGCGAAGAAAACCACTAATGTGTGAACAGTCGTTGTTATATATAAAAAATTACATGATATGGATTGTTCTAATTTGTTAAGCGAGAATTAAGATCGGATTTAGTGTTCGCAATCTTGTATTTTCTTTGTGACATGTATGTGTGACATATACTTTGCATTTATGTATTGCTGGTTGCAAAGTACACAGCCCATCAACAAAAAATGTCAAGAAATATATTT